GGACGTGGAATGGGCTTATGGTTAGCATCTTCCCTCGTTGGACCCACTCGGTGTGCACGAATGATTTCTATTGATCCCATCTCTGGGAACCATTTCGGGATGGCATCGAGGAGATAGGCAAGAAGATTAGCTGTTTCAGGGCTTTCGGGAATCCCCAGAATCCTCAAATTGTCTCTACGAGACCTGTCCTCTAAGTCTGCCACCTTATCCTCCAGCGTAGCGCAGTGTGTAGTTAGCTTATCCGCCATTGTCGAGAGGCGACCATCTAGCTCAGTCATGCGGTTTTTGGTGGTTTCCATGCGTTCCATACACGCTGAAGTGTCCGCTCGTGTGGTTAACATTTCGGTCCGAAGCTCGGCGATCTGTTCTGCCACAATGGTTTGTGTCTTGGTTGAAAGTTGAGCGACTACTTCCTCCACCAGCGCGGGAATGGCTTCTTTGATAGCATCTGCTACTGCTAGCTTAACTAGCCTAGCCAATTCGTCGTTGTCAACAGAACGAATATTAGGCTGTTCTTGAGTTTGTTTAGCAGAGTGTTTCTTAGAGGATGTAGCCATCATTGCCTACTACACACAAAAATCGTAGACCTAAGACCAGATACGTGGTAAAAAACAATGTATTTAAGGGAAAAGCTGCGGAGCCGTGATGACAAACTACTGCATCCCTCGCCGGTCACGTGACTCCTCATTACGAGGTTTAATTTTATATGCAAGGATTTTTATAAACCTTCTTTCCCTCACCTCATGTCCTCTCCCAAGAACTAAAGGTGGAAATCTTTAGTCATCTCATAATTTGATTCTATTGAAGAAAAAGATGTTCTGTTTAACACTGATTCTTCATTGCACTACACATTCTTGTTTTTATTGAGAGATCTGGACTGGTTTTGATAATCTAAATGTGTAATTACATAGCTCCATGTGCCATGGCTAAACTGTGATTAATTGACATGCACTCTGTCCAGAATGATCCTGTAATGGGTCATCTCAGAGTGTACCTAAAAAGAGACAAATTAGTTAACATGTGCCATACAAGAGGCCAACATACTGTATAAGTATTATTATCAATAAAATGATAGCCGATCTGGTTATGAGGTAGAGAAGATCATCCCAGTCGATGTGACATCCTGCCCTGCCGAGTGGCCAGACACAGAAGATAATGAATAAATTGTGTGAATTGTTTTGATTCAGTCCAGAGACTTAAAAAGGTCTGTGATTTGGTCCAACTGAAGTATTTGTAAAATTTTATTCTTTTGCAATTAAATGTTCAMGTCTAAATCTGAATTTGTCTGAGAGCAGACTCTTGCCCTCAACAAAAACACAGTTCTTTCACATTTCTTTCACTATTACAATTCAGATTTCTGGGGTGTGATTATAAAACAAATACTCAATTTTGTTAATCAAATTTGAAACAACCAGCTTCTGGTAAGCTTATGATATTTATCTAAGATTTAAAGTAAAATAGTCGAGAACACAGATTTACTAATTGAAATGACGATAGCTTATTTTGCACTAATAACACAGATACAGTATATACTGTTTGTTTTCATGCATAAGATTGTCCAAAAACCCGTGTTAATCACAGGCTCCTGAACAACTTCTAGCATAACTCAATACTCAAAACACCATTCAGGGTTCAGCAATGAAAAGATGAAAATGCTGTGAAAATACACAGTTTTACCAAAATTGTACTACATGAAGCTACAGCAAGCAAAAACTGGTATTATTGTACACCTCAGAGCAGAACTAGCTTTCCTGTCAACTTAATGCCCCACATCACTACTGCACAGACTCTGGTAGTAAAGAGGTCTGGTTTCTGCTGGCTTTACATTCCAACAACAAGAGAAGGTGGAGACAGTTGATAATGTTATTATAGGTCTATGGCTGCTAGTATTCTGCTGACTCTCTTAAACTGGCAGCACAGATTAACATTAACTAAATTACTTTTTGACATTTGACAATCAAATCAAAATCATTCATGTCCTTGATGTGATGCATCTAAAACTAGATTGTAAAAGCGCGCGCGAGCACACACACACACACACACACACACACACACACACA